ACTACTGACGCTCACTTTCACACTCCATCGCTCATTTCCGTTTATGTTAAATCAATAAAGCATATTGTAATTCGCTACATCACGCTGCCTTGTCTGTGTTGTTGCGGCCTCAGAGCCAGGCGTAACAGAGGACATAATCAAACAGATTGTGTTCACACTTACCAATGTATGCAGCAATGTCGTGAAACTCAGGCTTGTTGGCAATGAGCTCCTCCTTGGTTGGAATGTTGATGCCCATGTAGCAAGGGAACCTGATTGGTGGAGAGGCCACTCTGATATGAACCTGTTGAAGAGTTAATACAGATCAATGTGTTAACAAATGTCTCATTCAGGTGGGCACATCTCATGCTGGTGCTAGATCCCGTTTTGACCATCGTCCCGCACACAGACACCAACAGCTCCTTATGTCTCAGTGGTGAAAATATCTGAGTTACAGCCATAATAAATTCAGTTGTATAAACTGACAAGTTATTAAAGCTATACATATAAATTAGTAGAAAACTGAAGGGATCCCAATTAATCAGGTTGTTAACAGGCTGTGTCACTACAGTGCTAAAAAAACACTGATAAGCAAACGTGACAGCACAGCGAAAAATAAAAACCTTGATTTACTAAAATGGGATCAGTCTACTGCTGAGCTGAGACACATCAATAGTCACTACATGACAGTTTAGACAAGTCATCTTGCATTTGTTATGCAATGTACCCGCTTTGCTTGAGGGTTAGAGTCCAATATCATATTTCATCGAAGTAATCATTTCTGCTTACATCAGCCGGAGGAGGTCAAATTATTCAGTTATTTACAAAAAAAAGCAAGATGGAATATTGAGTAACATCTTAAAATTCCATGTATTTACCTCAGGACTCCTTAGTTTTACCTTGTGATCTTTGTGGGGGGGGTCCACTCCCCAGGCATTTAAAAACTACTATGTAACATCATAGACCCTGTTGAGACCTGGTATTAACATCTGTCCTGAGAGAGCCAATCACAAGCGGCCAGCCTCAAGTAAATGTGGGAATATCTCTGATCTATCTAACTGATTCATGACTCTGCCTGCTCTTTTTCTCTCTCACACTCAAACCGACACTCGGACACATCTCTAAACTAAGCCTGAGTAAAAACAACATCATCTGGTCATAAACCCAAATGACAAATGTGCAGGGAAATGAGATCCAATCACATGAAACACATTCGGGTCACATTTTATTGCCAGGTGTGAAAAGACAGACTTTACACCGTCCACTCATGATCGGATCTCTCAGGACAGATGTTAATATCAGGTCTGAACAGGGAAATATGTACAAGTTTAAGTAATTTGCTTTGCCAACACACCTCTGTCGCACCAGCTTCCTTCAGCAGTTTTATAATGGGTGAGATGGTGTTGCCTCTGACGATGGAGTCGTCGATTAGCACCACCCGCTTCCCAGCAAAATTATCTGTCAGTGCTCCGAACTTCTTGGCAACTCCAAGCTGCCTCAAACGGGTGTTTGGCTGAATAAACGTTCTCCCGACATAGCGGTTCTTACACAGAACCTCAATGTATGGCAGCCCTGACTGTGAGAGGAGAAAAGCTTGTTAGGGCAGAGGTGAATCAGGAGGATGTAGTGAGTGACAGCACGTGTTGACAGAGACGGACCTGCTGAGCGTAGCCCAGTGCAGCGGGGGTCGCAGACTCTGGCACAGTGCTGACAACGTCTGCGTCTGTTGGAGCCTCAATCGCTAACCGCTTACCACAGCGCTGCCTCACAGTGTAGACCATCTGTCCTGTAGGTATAATAATAACGATATTATTCATAATAATCAGAGCTTTATTTCTTGACATAGTTACACAGTACTTCACACGAGGATAAAATCCCAAATAAAACAATACAAATTTAAGAAAATTAAAAGATTAAAGCTTTTAAAAAAATACTGTTTTAAGGAGGGATTTAAAAGCAGTAATGGATGAATCATTTCTGATAAGGCATTTTTAACAACCTATTTAACAACTATTTAACAACCAGGTCTGACCCCCCCAGTAGACCACACACACACGCAATGTGCAATTAACCACTGCAATAACCACAGTACAATTTAAAAATTTTGCTATTTGCCCATGTACAACTGCTGCTATATATACTACCTGATATTGTGTGTTTCTGTTTGCTTGTTTGTTTGTTTGTTTGTTTGTTTGTTTGTCCTCTCTTTGGAGTTAAATCTTGTGCTACTGCTGTAACATGTGAATTTCCCCACTGAGGGACAATAAAGGAAATCTAATCTAATCTAATCTAAATTTCGAGTTTGAGTGCCTGTACTGCAAAAGCATGATGGCCTAATCAATCAATCAATCAATCACTCAATCACCAACCGAGCTCTGGAAACAACTGGAATGTGATCTAATGATCTAAGATGGTGTGCAGGCTCATAGGGAGTTAGTAAATCCCTGATATATGCAGGGGCTTAGGTGTGTAAAGCTTTAAAAGTCATCAAAATCTCGAATCAATGCAGAATTAAACTGGAAAGAAACAGTTTTATGTGGTTGGGTTTAGTACAGAGATGGAAAGTACTGATAGTGCAGAAGTTGTGCTTGTAAGACAGTATTAGAAAGATGCACATTCATTCATACCTTCAAAAATAGAGTCTGGTCTGGCAAAATAAACATATTCAAATATGCAGAAGGCGGGGAGGTCTCCCTCGGGGCGAGGCACAACACTCAGAGACTTGACTCCATGTTTGGAGATCTGAACTATCTCTCCTGGTAAGACCTCTCTGTAATACCTGAGAACCAGGAGAGTGAAAATGGTCATTGCCCACAATTTAAATCAGAGGATGTTGTGTTTGATGGAAACAAAAAAAACCTACTTGGCACCAATGGATTGAAAACTGCAGGACTCTGATGACACCACCCACCCCTCAGTGTCCTCCTCCCCAGAACCTGATCACAGGGACAGAGCATAAAGTTAATCATCCACCAGCAGACACCTCTGACCTCCGATGAATCCAAAGGCCAAACTGACATAAAAAGCATTCTGGCTGGAGAACTGCTAACCCCTCTTGAGGCCTCTTGATAAGGTCTTATTAGGACAAACATGTGTCTGATGAAATGTCACAAGCAACAGAAAACCTGTATAGAAAACCTGGGGTGTGCAGTTTAGAGATGGGAACAACACGTCCAAGGCACAGGGGTCGATTTCCGTAAGGGTCACGCACTGCGTAGATAACATCTTTGAACATCATCAACAGTGAGTATGATGTTGGAGTTTCAGTCATGAGGTTTTTAATTCTGCAACACACACAAAAAACAATTCTTATACTGCGTAGCAAATGGTTCATGTTATCAAAAGTAATTTTAATCATGGCACCAACCTGGCAACCCAGTCTGGTGCGTCTAGCTCCTCCAGAGGTGGAGTGAACGCCAGCAGTTGGGTGATGAGTTCACTGTCTGAGCTGGTGGAGAGGCCGACGCCATGACGCATAACCTACGCAGGACATTTACAACAACTGATATATTTAGAGGGTTCTCCATGTAGGTCCGATTTTTTCATGCATTTGTTCAAGATACAAACACTGAGCAAGTTTTACTTCTGTTGTAAAGCCCCCTCTGAAGGCACTGAGATGCATCACATTTATTTCCAAGACTATTTCACTTGAACCACCTTTACTTCAAATAAAATGAAAATCAACCAACCGAAAACTGGGGTTAAGGCAAGAAAAGACATGAGAGCATAAAAATGGTCGAGAAGGAAATGTGATGTATTGAATGAAGTATTCTTTATTTAAATGGGGAATGTTTTGTTGCTCTGCTTCAATGTCTTTCACACCGTGTTACGTATGTGTGTAATATGCCCTGATAGAGAAAATAACTAGGAATCATCTTTTCTGCTTTATGGTCCAATCTATTAAGGTAGAAATCTGTCTTGACGTGTGTAAGGGGACACAAAAAAATAATTAAAATAACCCGTCTTGAAATGAAAGAGCCATTTATTTACACTGCACCAGACTGAGTGTGGACGAGCGGAGGGTCATCCTCACCTTCTTTCGCAAGGCATGAGCATTAACCAGCTCGCCGTTGTGTGCGACAGCGATCTTGCCGTGCAGCGTATCCACCACAAAGGGCTGGCAGTTCTGCAGCTCTGAGATCCCAGTAGTTGAATAACGTGTGTGACAGATGCCAAGGTTACCATAGCGCAGTTTCAGGAGAGCCTCGGGTGGGAAAGCAGTGCTTACTAATCCCATTCCCTAAAAAAACAATCACAAGAGGACTGAGACAGGTTTCTACTTGCACAGATGAAGTAAATGCTAACATGCAGCATGTTGTAAAGTGAGACAAACCAGCATAGCCCTCAACAACCATTATCATGTTCAGTAGAACTGTTTGTGTGTGTGTGTGTGCGTTATTTGAATACTGTGAGTTTAATAAGGCTTCTGTATAATTAGTGATGGTGCTTCAGCTCATGATTCACAGTTACCTTATGGATTGTGTATGTTGGTGGACTGGCTCCATTACTTGTAACGATCCCGGCACTTTCCTGACCCCTAAGTAAACACAAACAGACACATTGAAAATTGAATATCAGTGGGATTTGAGTTTTATAATGAATGTGATGAAAACCTATTTTCTGCAAGTCTAAAGAGGAAAAACATAGTCGTTTTTGAAGCTTGATATGAGCCAAACTGGTTTGATTGGAGTTAAAATATAACAGGAAAGAGAAGCAGAGAAGAGGAAACGTCTGCTTCTCTGCTGTGGAGTCGCCTCGCTGCAGTTTCAGCCCATTTACCAAGCTGCTTCTCAGATTACAGTTGGTCCCGCCCCCTCGGCACATAGCTTAAGCCAGTGGTGAGGCTGCTTTTCTGCATGGAGGCGTTGCTTTCAGGCTTAACCGCCTGGTTGCCTAGGGAACCGGGCAGCAGAGACGGACAGGCTGGGGAGAAAGAAAGCGTTTCCAGGTCAGCTCAAACATGGAGAGAGGAGCAGAGAGACAAAGAGGAGGGGATACGGAGGTGGCGCAGGAGAAGAGCTCAGTGGAGAGGCAGTGGGGGGACGCAGAGGTGCTGGCTCTCATGTCAGTGTGGGACGAGGTCGGCGCTCAGCACGTAACCGAGAGCAGGGCCACCTTTGAGCTGATCTCAGAGCGCCTGAGGAGGCTCAGTGTTGTGCGCAGCTGGTGGGAGTGTCAGGCCAAGTGCAAGAGCCTGGGACTTCAGGGCAGGAGGCCTGACGCAGCAGCAGCAGCAGGCACTTCAGCAAACTACAGCCCAGGAGTGGACGGGAGGCCAGAGGGCTGGGAGGAAGAGGTGGAGGATGTGGGTAATCAAAGAGGAATCTACTCTTCCTCAAGCACTTTCCCAACACAGGAAGGTAAATGCAGGTTTAAGCCCACACTCTCGCTCGGATGAGCAAAACATCTTAAAAGATTAGACACGGTTTTGTTACAAGCAATAATAATATACAGTTATTATGGAATCTAACTTTTGCTTAACTGCACTTAATTTAGGCAGAAATATAATTTTTCTAATTTCTTTTTAAAAGTCAATTATAACATAATACTATCTGCAGGAATCAAGAGTCAAATCCATCGAACTCTCCCTTACACACCGACTGTGGCTGAAGAAGGGGGCCGCCACTGGACCGACGACGAGGTGCGAGCCCTGCTGTGCGTGTGGGCTGACCGGCGTGTCCGAGAGCGCTTGAAATGCACGCTACGCAACAAGTCCATCTTCCAAGAGATGGCCCGTCAAATGCAGAGAACTTTCGGGGTGGTGCGCAACTGGAAACAATGTCGGACGAAATACAAGAACTTGAAATACGACTACAAGACTGCGAAAAGTGCCCACGCTGCAGGGGGCGGCGCCGCAGGAGGCCCAGGGAAGTACATGAAGTTCTTCGATGAGGTGGAGGCCATTCTGCTGGACCACGGGCTGGAAAACAGCGGCGTGGAAATGCAGAGGAGGTTGTATGATGGAGAAGTGTCAGAAGGGAGGTTGCAAACACCAGCACAGACAACTGCCTCAGAAAGTGAGGTTGTCATAGAAATTGATGACGGTATGTATTCAGGTTGTAATGTATACATTAGTTTGGTTTAAAGGCTTAAATGAAAGGCACAAACTTGTGGTTTTTCCAGATGACAACAGTGATGATTACGATATGGAAGGAGACATGGAAGCTAAATGGAGCGGGACAGGTAAGTTCCAACAAACCTCCAGGGCAGTTTACACTGGATGCTGTTAATTCTTTCCTTAATCTATTTTCAAAACACTCCAGATGCCCATCTAACAGATCCACCCAGCTCTGACCAGATCCACGTAGTCACCGTGTCGGACACGGGTCGAAACTGGAGCGACCAGGAGGTGCGAGCGCTGATCCAAGTCTGGTCCGACGAGCGTGTATGCAGGCAGCTGGAGAGCTCCACCAGAAAGAGAGATATCTTCGTTCAGATCTCCAACAGGTTGATACAGCAAGGCATCGAGCGGGACTGGAAACAGTGCCACACCAAGTACAAGAACCTCAAGTACCTGTACCGTTCCCTCCAGAGGGGCAAGGGTGACGAAGCTGACCCCAGACGTCTTATGAGGTTCTACGATGAGGTGGACGCCATTATGAATCGCACGACTAACGGCTCGCCACACGTCACGAGAACTGCAGACCAACAAGAAGTGACAGGAGAACTTGTGATGTTGGAGGGTTCTGAGGAGAGAGATCATGTAAATGTTTATTTGACGAGGGCAAACACAGTCAGGACAGCTGTGGCAGCGCTGGAGGAGAGAACTTGTAGTACTGATTCTGTCTCGTCCATTAGCCTGGATGTTATGCCCAGCAATGAAGACAGGAGGCCGCATGCAGTTAAGGAGCGTCGCTTGGATCAACAGCACAGATTAAAGAGTGAGCCCAGCATGATTAATTATTCATGTCTAATGTGAAGTCTTGTTCTGTTACTAAAGTCATCCATGAAATCAGAAAGAGTCACTCCAGCCAAAAACATCAAGGGCTGTTTTAAATGATTTTCAATTGGGACCATCTGACACTCAAAAGTTTAATTTAAAGAAAAATAAGTGGGAAATAAAACATTTCCAATGTAAGAATGAAAAAGGGGTTGAATTAGAAACATAACCTTTCTAAACTTGCATTTTCACATGAGATTATTGTCAACACCACTCTCACAAAGACCAGATCGTACCATGACAACAAACTTTACAGAGCAAGAAACAACCATTACAATGTAAAGTTGAACTAGAAACCCTGAAGCCTGTGCTATGATAAAGACATAGTAAAACAGCTGGATGTACTAGGGAGGGTTGTTATTTATTGACAGTAGAAATAATACCAACTGAATGTCGCTTTTCAAGGACAAGGGTCACATCCCCCCCGAGGCATCTGGGTGGGGGGATGAAGTGCAGCTCTACCCATTGAGTGAATGCCCGTCTGAGATTCACTCTTCTTTTACCTTGGTTTCCAACCATTCTCTGCATTCTTCCTAATTTGCCTCCTATGACGACACAGCTTTTTCCTTTGCCAGGTAGAGTTTCCACAATTCCAGTTTTTTTTTTACTGCCCAGCATTTCCAGTGAGAAGCTGTCGATAGTTACCAGGGAAGACAAGCACCGTCTTCTTTCTGTTCGGGCTGTGCAGTTGCTGATGCAACAAATCAAGTAATTATACAGCTAAATTTTGTGCCCGTGTGACTAATAGCTTATAGGGAACCAATCAAAATGCAGATGGTGTCGTAAGACAGTAAATTGTGTAATCACA